TTATTAGTGTGTGTTTTATTGGTTTGGACCATTTTTATGCTGAACACAGGGTTGCTGTATTCATCCGCTCCAACAGGGGGTGCTGTGTAATTTTGCGTCCATGATATTCCCATTCGTTCAATTCAGCGGAAGTAGCTTGATCATCGCATTCTTTCAAAGATGGCTCTTGCTAGTGTTTTAAGTAGTGATTGTGAGGATTTTTCATTCGATTATCGTCAGCCTTTCGCTGTTGGTTGTGGTCCTGGACAGAACGGTGTAGAACTTGAGGCTGCTCCGGGGGAATGTCTTAGTTTTTCTGTAAAAAACCCGCTGCTCCCCGGAGACGATGACGGGGTTGAGAGGAAAATAGAGTTTCTGCATGGGACAACAACCTTAGCATTTAAAGTAAGTTTACGTRTTCATTACGTTTTGTAGCTTGTAACCTTAAAACGTCTCATTGAAATTGTTTAGGTAAAAATAAAACACAATTAAAATAATGTACTCGTTTGTAAATTGTGAACTAACTAGAGTTAACCTGCCTCGGCGGTTAGCTTGCTATGCTAAGTRGCTACAATCTGCTTTCTCATGGCAGATATTCAGACTTTGTCGTGATTGATTATTGACACATATTCAAAAGAAGAGTCGGTCAATTATTGGTGAAGATTTATTTAATATATATTTTCCATCTTGTTTGTTAATTAAGACCTGACAAATGCATAATTTGTAAGATTTCAGATAATAAATCCACTGTCCTCCAGCAATCAGTATAAATAAATCGTTGTATTACTCTCGAAATGTAATTTTTTTTGTGTGTTTTTCTTTACTCACAACTGTTTTGTTTTTTTAAAATGCCTGCTAAAAAATTACCTTTCGAAATGCATTATGTTAATGAAATGTTTCAGATGGTTTTATCAGTCAGTTAATAAAATAATTAGATGTAAAATCGCAATGAAGACAAGCTTGGCTAAAACTATTGATAAAAACTAAAACCTGTTTATATTTTCAAAGTAGGAGACAAAGTTGCTGGAAATATGTAATTCTATTAAAAATATATATTTTACTCGAAGGATTTGCATTGCAAAGCTTTTTCTGTAAGAGCTGAAATGTTAATATTTTTTTTAAATACATGGTAAAATGTGTGGAACATTAAAATACATTTTAACTAACATTACCACAAAGTCTAAATTGAAGAAGTATAGACCAGGAAGTTTTTTTAATGGATCCTGAAATTTGTATTTGTGTAACTGTTAGTGTAAAAACATTATTAAGACAAAACACAACATTGACAATTGTCCTTTTGTTGTGTTAAAATTTGAAAATCCTCTAATTCAGTGAGACAAAAATGGAATTAGCTTTCTAAAGCTTGATACATGTGACATATTTTGTGCTACTTTATGCTGTTGAATGTCAGTAAAGGTTAATAAACCTTGGTCAGGGTGATATTTGTTCCCACGAGGTCTCAATAATAAACAACAAAACTTATAAAGAACCAAAGCTGCTGATAGGATGGTGTTAAAGGCTGAAATGAGTTTTGCTTCGGCACCACAAATTAAATCACATATTGGGGTTTAGTTCTACTTTGGTTGACAATAAAATAGGCACAGATATGTAGCTTTTTTTTTCTTTTCAGTTACAGTGGTTTGCAAAAGTATTCATACCCCTTGAACTTTTCCATATTTTGTCACATTACAACCACAAACATAAATATATTTCAC